AAACTCTATAACCCCATCCTTGCCCAAGTGAATTTATCCAAATACATTCGAAAGATTTAATTGAACGAAGTTCAAAACGACTTTAATTGATTAATCCATTTTCAATGATTATTGCAATATAACCATTATTATATTTAATATCATTAATAACTTCATTTTCTTCGGATATTATTTCTGATTGGTAGCGTTTATTAAAATGAACAGATGGACAAAGATTAAACTCAACGATGAACGGATTTTGGCCAAAAGTCGATAAAAATAACGATGTTTCTGAGCATGTTCCACGCTCCCAAGGTATATTGCTATTAAAATATAGTTGGCATGGATCTAGAATCATTCTTTTTTCACCAAGAGTAAAAATTTCCTTTGGAGAGATTAAAATGAATCGATTGAGTGTTTTTGACCAACAAATATCTTTTATTCCTTCTTGCGAAAAATGACTTTTGATTAACACTTTTAAATTACTGATTGATCAAATATAAAGTCGATTTTTCAATAACCAAAATATGTGCTAGATTAGTCGCTAATGAATACCAATTATCAGATGGAACTTTTATTATTCGTTTTGGAGATATTAACCAAGAATAGACTATTTCGCGGAGATTATGAAAAGCAATACGAATGAACTTGCATTTCAGGAGAAACTGAATTATTTGGTGAAGATCGAGAAGAGACAAAATCCTTCATTGGAACTAAAGATGAATCGAGTTCATTCGTTAAAGATGCAGAAGAGAACACGTAAGTAAACTTAGCACCAGATTCGAGTATTTCTTGTCCCGATTCGCTTTCTTACCTGTGTTAACTCTCTAAGCACTTGTGTTAGGTGCAGAATTTTGTGCTCTATCCAATGATACATGTTTCAAGGGGGGTCATCGGGCAAAAACCACCACTTTTCCCCGAAATACTGTCTTATTCCCCGTATAACGACAACAATTCTCCAGTATTTCTTCTCCGGATTCGGTCTACCGCTTCTGTTAACTTTCTAGTTGAGTGTGTCAGATGCAGAATTTAATTCTCTATCAGATAGTGCATTTCTAGCTGCTGTTATGGGTCCAAAATCCGGGGTTACATGCCAAATACCAGGTCCAACACCTGATTTCGGATGTAATTCTTGTCCCGACTTGCTCTACGACTTGTGTTAACTTTCTGGATGTGTGTGTTAGATGCAGAATTTAATTCTCCATCCGATGGCACTATTTCTAGGTGCTGTTATGGCGCAAAAATCTGGGGTTACATGCCAAATACCGAGTCGAAGACCTAATTTAGGGTGTAATTCTTGTCCCGATTCGCTCTATGACTTGTGTTAACTTTCCAGTTGAGTGTGTTAGATGCAGAATTTAATTCTCTATTAGATGGTACTGCTTTCATCTCGTGCTATTTAGCATAAACGAATGGCTATACCAGAAATACCTCACCCACCACCAGTTCTAGATTGTAAGCGTTATCTTGATTTGCTGTACAAACTGTGTTTACTTTCTAGTGGAACGAGTGGTAGAAGAAAGTTGATTTACTGTGGAAGGATATAATGTTGTAAGGAAAAACTAACGAAAAATATCGCTGTTGCTGAGGATGTTGGAACTTTCCGCCTAGGTTTGGAAGGAAGCTCTCGCTGGTTTGTTCCACCATTGTGCATTGTCTGTGGAAAGGGAAACCGTAGATGAAAATTTCGTTTTATGTATTGGTGGATATTGGAAAAGACTTTGTTTGGTGAGGGATGGTTTAGTGAGTTTTTAGCAGCGCTTCTGCGCAGAGCAATTATTGTATCCTGGTTTTGTAGATTTTACTATTGAAAGCTTTATTTTCAGTCGATTAATATCGGGATTTATTAGTTCATTCGTAACATATTGGTCTGGTGAGGGAGGGTTTCAGTGTTACGAATACTGGACGTCTATAGAATCTTCTTCTCTCATGCGACCCACCGATGATTGAACGCTATGCAGAATATCTATGAAATGGGTGACTTGTGCATAGGTTTGTTGGGCTTTTGTAATTTTATGAAGGCTTCTCGCATATTATTGATGGACTTTATTCGCCTTTGTGTTTTAAGGTGATGAACAAGTTTTATGAAAGTCAACAGTTCTGATTTCGGTAAGCTTTTTGATTCACATGATAATGCAGATTGATTGCTACAGCGGTATGTTTTTTTGACCGAAGAAAATTCAAAAGCTTCGATGAACTAGGCGAAAAGAATGTATATTGTAGACATAATGATAGCGTGCAAGCATTGTTGAAAACAGTATTCATATGACGCTGTGATTTTGATAAACGGTTACAAGATCAAAAACTCAAGTTAGAAAAACAAAAAGGTAATAAGCGTTAAGTTTCAATCAGTTTGTGTATAAGAAGCATGCATAACAGTTACAATAAGTAGCATGAAATATCAGCAGCGAGAACAAGAACGCTAGTCATACATATGGAACAATAATATAGTTGTACGTACACATGAAATCGAATAACATTAGGTTATTGTCGAGAAAAAGTCCTAAATACGCAAAGTATAAACAGCAAAAATGACTGTTAGCAGCCCATCGTGTGAAAAAACAGCCTTGTGGATGTATATCATTAAAACGAACATAAGTACCGTCATTTGTTTTAATAATTGCAGTGAAGTGACTGTGCGTGCTATTAAAGCCGCCCGAGAGATGGTATCTAAACATAGAAGTTTCCGATAAATTTGTGAAGCTTGGGTAGATTAACTTACTCATGTGGACCAATGTATAATGGATCAGGCAGTTCCACCATTAGTGGTTCATCTGTTTCAACGTTAATGATCACAAAAGGTGACACATACTTTAAATGTTGCATATATACGGTGCGTGGTGCTTGACATATATATCGTTTCTTAAATTTATATATTTCAGATATGAATATTAAAAAAAAATAACAGAATTGTTACTCAATACTGGTAGTATTCGTTGTCACATCAGTAACTGGATAACGGTCGTCAACAATATAATCGTCAGGATAGCTGTGAGGCTCATTAGGACCAAGATTAGCACCACAAGAAACTATGAAATCATTTGTGAAGGATTCAATATAATTCGGAAATTGCTTGTTGATTTTACTAAATGGATTTCGAAAATGTTGATAGAAAAAGTATCATANTGTGAGGCTCATTAGGACCAAGATTAGCACCACAAGAAACTATGAAATCATTTGTGAAGGATTCAATATAATTCGGAAATTGCTTGTTGATTTTACTAAATGGATTTCGAAAATGTTGATAGAAAAAGTATCATAATTGAAAAAGAAAATTAAAACGAAGTTGTTATACAAGAAGAGTTTCTAATGATTCAATATATCGGATCTATGAAAAGTATCTTAATTATATAACAAAGATTAGAAACTTCTCAAGTGTTTTTACAAAAGATTGGGTTCTCGCAAGACCTTGACAACTCGAACGACGAAATTTTTAATAAGGTTTCTGTGATAACCTTATGCATTTATAAGGCAAAACATAGTTATTCATGTTCTTTCGTCGTCATAGCAAACATTTATTTTAGTTATGTTTTGTTTCTAGAAGCTATTGTTTTATGAACTTATAATATTTTCGGTCATAAAATTACTAAAATCCGAATTCCAAGTCTTTTCTTAATGATAATCCATTTTTTTTGCACTTTTATATATTCAAAAACTTACCGTAGTGTTATATCGACACTTTAGTGTTTACGTATTCGTTCGGACAGGCAATACATGTACATTCGGAATTGTTATGAAATTCTTGCATGGGCTTCACGTAATCGAAAACAATTTTAGTTAATGTATTTTGTAAGTCGTACTGTCCATCACAATTTTTCACATTGAGCAGTTCATGTCTCACGAGCCAATGTAGCCGAGCCATGGTTCAGTCATGGCTTTCAACATATTCAAATGTTTGACGAAGAGCAGTAAAAGCATCGAGAGTGTTATTTTCGAAGAGATTGCGAAACTTATCGTTGCCAGCTTTGGAGGCATGGTACAACACGAATAGACCTGTGTCAACAGGACATGTTCTAGTGATGGAGAATGATTGACCTGCATAAGTGCCATTGTTAATACCATATCTTGGCCAGGTTAAATTAAGACTGCCACGTGTTGTGGTAAATGGTCGTTTGCTTAATGTACCCCGATGTATGTCGGTTGAATTTGTCAGCATTGTTTTCTTTTTTTTCCTTAATGGTGAGATGTTTTTTTCGTCACCTTGGCTGAAATAGTATCATTGGACGATGAAAGTGGTCTTTTTGGCGAAAGTACTCGAGATAATAAGTTTGGAATAATTATTGCACAAACATAATCATCAACATATTTGGAATTGGGAGTACGGTGACGAAAACTTCTTCGTATATTTTGGTCTGTGTCAGTTGTTTCTGTTTCACTGGGTTCAGCATAAGGCACTAAGGCTGGTAAAGTGCTTTGCATAGTTTTCGGTGATTTTAATGGCGCATCAAAATTGCTACATGACGATGACGAAGAGTTACATTCGAGAGCAAAAGCTTCATCACTGTTTAGCTCAGCTGGATTCGAGGGCTTGGTAGAAAATCCAAATGATTGATTAAAAGCTAAATGAGTTTATGAGTTACTTGAGCATGTATCACTAAATATTAATAATTATTCAAATAAGTTCTCTACTTAAACAGATTAGATATTAATAAAATAGTCAAGTATTCTAGAAGTTTCTTCGTTTTACATTGCCATTACTACACTATGTATATGATTTCAGATTCTGTTGTGTATACTCCAAGAATTCGACATTTCTGCATAATATTGTGAATAGGTATGTAGCAAACTATGTAAAATAGAATCATCAAAAAACAGAAACTATCAAAGATACTCATAGATCGCTCCAAATTGAACCAATTAAAAGTAATACGTACTCGAAATCTGATAGGGTATTCACAGACGAGTGATCGCTTGTTATATAAGATGAAATTTGATCGGATTGCACTTTTCGTTGCTTTGGTTTTACTCCATTACAAGGTAAAATTGAATTAAGATTTAATTCCAATCCTATAAAATATAACTCACGTTAGTTTGCATTCTGTTGTCTGAGTGATACTAGGATCAAAATAATGAGCTCGTCGATTAGCCTTTGTCTTGGAGCGACCTTTCCTGCTCCAGGGCTCTTTGACATTTAAACTGTGTGATTTGCCTCGCACCATCTTTCGGCAACGCGATGATTGCGTGACATCGAAATTATTTGCTTTCAAACGTGAAACAGTATGACGATATACTTTTAATAAGAAATCATCTGGTTTAAGACGAGTTTTCTTCATAAGAACCGATTCTTTAATTACAGAAAAATATGACTCAATAGAAGCATTCGAAATTCGGCCATGACCAAATTCCCAGTTGTTAGCCGAAATTCTTTTGCCATCATTTGCATATCTAAATGGCAGAGATCCACCCTATCGATTACTTAAAATCGGAATAAAACTTACATATCTACAAATTCAGTCATGATACTTGACCATAGAGGAATGTAAGCAAACCATTTATAAAATAAATGAACAATCTCGATTGAAAATAGTGGATTAGTTGGTTTTTTATTTGTAGATTCGTTACGAATCAATTGTTTAAGAACAGGTATACGATCGCATGCCTTAACATTAAACGGTGACTGATGAATGATAGCATCGGCGGTAATATCAATTTCGTCGAGAAAATCTGGTTCTTCTTCATCTTCTTCTAAATATGGTTCAACAGGAAATTCATCTACATTCGACTGATCGATAAGTAAAGATAATCTTTGTGACGATTGGTTATTATACGGATCGGCGTAAATATTCATGATTTCTTCAAATAAATCAAATGCACCATCGACATTGTGACAATTTAGTAACACAGCAAATAGTGTCGTTATTTGANATTGAATCGTTCTGATTGTGTTAGTAAAAAATTCCTGGGACCTAATGTGACTATTTAATAAGTAAAAATCGGAGCTTCCGGAGGAGGCCGATTTTGGCTCTTATCGTCCCCCCTCCTTTGATAACGAACGAAAGGTGAAAGAGAATAGTGAAAAGAAACGCTATCGATTTGATCTCGCTACTTTGACGCTGCGTTCAAACGAATATTTTGTGAGCTTCCGTTCTGAAGATCATTGTAACACAAAACGGCAAGTTCGAAGCGTACTTGAGACTATCTTACCAGCATTAATTATCTGATGTAAAAGATGAAAACCGTATCGTCTACATTGCTGTTGTTCGGAACTTCCTGAAGATGAGCGAAAACTCATAATCAAGATTCAAAAGCATGTGAATCGTCTCGCGACATTGATCTCTCTGGCAATTCTAGCGACTCACCTTTCTCACGATCATCGCTACAAAAAGTACAACTTTCGTTACTGCAAAAAAAATTGCAGAGTGCGTACGTGAAGGGCTATATAAATGCTGTGTTTTGCACCGCCTTAATTAAAAATTCACATGATAAGTACTTTAGCGGTTATTTGTGGCATAAGTAAACGAAGTTACTGAGTATACACTTGGAAACACGAACATAACATGCACAGCGCGATTCCCAATGAATATTCTGATAATCACCAAGCTAGTCAATCTTCAGTTTGCTGTTAATCAATTAGTCATCGGTTGAAAAATCTATTTTCATGAAACATATAATTTTATCATGCTCTAAAGTAATTAAGAAGATCGTCAGTGTTTTGTTGATGATCTAATGAGGTCATTTTTTAAATTTTGTTTGAGACTTTTTCAGAATTGATCTACATCCAGAAAGATATTGAAATCATATCCTACGAAAATTATCGCATTTTGTTATGCGAATTCAACTTGGGATGTAAAAGAATTTCTTATTCGAGGTTCAATAAAAATTCCACATTCTAATTATGTCATTCTATGACGAGAAGTAGGAGATTTACACTTTAAATTACTTTTAACATGAAAATTCGTCAAGATGACAGATCAAATGTGTTTCTAGCAACGCCCACTTTTATTATGTCATTACTAAATACGAAAAAATGTGCTAATTCTGTTTTCTACTTTCTTCAAATCATTTCTCCATTCTTGCATGCATGTTAATGACACTACATCATTAAGTTGCAGATTTATAGTCTGCAATCAATGAGTACTCGATCTACTTATCATCAAGATTATATTGTGTAAGCGAGTTTGCTACTAACATCTAATTAGAAATTATGCTGTCAACCACAGTTCACAAGTAATCGAAAGTTTTTCATTAATTACATTGATTAGTTGCGTTCGTTTCATTGACATCAATAACTGACACAGGTAAAAATAGGTAAGAGAAGAAATGACAGGAGCTTGCAAGATATATTCTTTGTTGCCACTGTTAGAAAGATTTTTATTTTACGTCTACAAGTTATTCTTACAAAGCCTTATATTTTTTCTTCGCTTAATAAGAATTTGATCATATATGGCATCGTTGTTGGCTACATCACTAGCATTCGCTCAACGAATTATTATTAAATACGTTGAATCGAGTATCTTTGTGCTGGGTACTATTGGCTCTCTGATGAATATAGTACTTTTCTCTCGAAAACATTTACGATCAAATTCTTGCTGTACTTGTAAGTGATCTGAAATCGGACAGTAACCTAGTAATGGTAGAGATGCAAAAATTTTCTAAACAAATTTTTTAAAACTCTTTCAATTCCAAAACGAAAAAAAACATATTTTTTCTTCAATATGAGCTATTTTGAGGATTAGTGATATAAACAGTTTTTATTCGTAGACTTTCTTGCATCATCATTTGCTGCAATCGTCCTGCTTTCAATAGGTATCATACCTTTAATTTATGCTCAATTCAATTCTCCGAATCCATTCTTCTCCATAAATACTTTCTGTAAGACCCGTGCCTATGTTAATCAATGGAGTGCTATGTCATGTCGATGGTTACTAGCTATGGCATGTGTCGATCGTTGTGTTGCATGTTCAACAAATGCTAATATCCGACATTTTTTTACAGTTAACAAGAGTCGGCGAATAACAATCTTGATTACCATTGTTTGGATGGTCTTGCCTATCCATGCACTGATATTTGCCAATATTATACCACCAGGCAATATTGGATGCATAATGTCAAACAACAATGTGGCTATTTATCATGGCATCTACACAATTATTATGGGTGGTACATTACCACCTTTAATTATGTTCTTATCCACTTTATTCATTTGGAGAAGTCTCAAAATGAAAAATCAACGAAGAGGAATGATTAACATGGCAAAATCAGAAAGATGGAAAAATACTCGTGATCAACAAGTATTAATCATACTATTGGCACAAGTAGCTATTTTTATTGTTTCTGCAATTCCGTTTATGTCGAACACTATATACACATCGTTGACTCGCGACATACCAAATAAATCCGTCGATCGTAAAGCAATTGAAGGCTTTTTCCAAGTAATTACTGAACTGTTTGTTTATATATTTCCAGCATCATCATTCTATTCAAACACATTGGTGTCAGGCACATTTCGAAAGGAATTAATGGGCATTTTTACATACTTCATTACATGTTGTCGTTGGAAACAAAACCGTGTCATCGCTGTCACTCAAACTCGAACGAATGATGGAACCAATGAAATACCGCTGACAACAACTAGAAAAACTCAACTATCAACTTACAACCCACCTCGTTGCTTCACCAATGCATAAAAGAAGAAAAAAAACATAACACTGTGCGAATTGAAAGACTCAAAAAATTAATTAGTTTCAATAGAAACCTTATATATGCTATGATTCTCTTTTCTCTTAGTTCTTTATTTTTCACAACTAAAGAAGTTCTCTCTTGTAAATAATCCTAGATGCTGGAATAGACAAGAGATGACAGGAGGAAAGGAATATTGATAGGAATAATACAAATGGAGTCAGGGAGAAATACGAGATCAAGTATTTATGTTAGGAACCGTTTTCACTGATACAACACCTTTCAAGTCCGACCAGAAAAAGAACCAAGTGCAGAAGGAGAACACACAAGAATAAAAAAAGGCATAATATCAAGAAATAGCGGCCTAGGCCAAAAAACAAGCATCAAGTGTGAGGGTGTGGGTGTGAATGTCTAAATATAATCATCACCCACACGGCCATCCACAGCCGCGCGCACAGCCATATTCACACCCACACCTACACAGGCTACTTTTTTAATCTGCAAATGCTCTGTATTCGTTTTGAATTCTAGTACAGCCCCATCAAAAATATTTTAATCAGCAATGGGATTCTTTTCACTTAATTCGACCACAATATGTATAATATGAGTAATTTACGTACACGGAATCGTCTGTTCGATTTTCTGTGTAAGACCTTGAATGGCATCTTCCGATTGTATTTGATAAATTCTACAAAAAACTAAACTGTAGCTTTGTCGACAACCGTTGATTTTAGATTCTATTAACTGAATATGCATACTCATATATTAGCTATTAGAAGTATAGTTGAAACTACACTTGCTTTAAGAGAATCGTCAATTGACTGTACTAGAGGTCAATGAATCATTTACTGAGTAAAATTTACCTGTTAATAAATGTTGATATGTTTCAGATATTCGAAACGTTAAAACAAAAAAAAAGTCAGAAAATATTTAGCCAACAAGAATTTGGTTGATTCTGAAAAAAAGCTAGAGAGTTGTCTGCATGCAAACTGATGTCTGCTCATTGTGAAGAGAATTCCTTGATACACGATCTGAACTGCTGGTTCTTATGTTCGATAAAGGGTTGAGTGCATACAAGTGCAATAGATTCTCAAAATAAAACATGACTCTCTGAAATATTTACTCAATCTCTAGCAATTCATATCACTAGTCGCAGGATCAAGAAATAAGCACTTTAATCGGCATTGTTTCAAAGTGAAGCCTCGTAGTTGAATGTATTTCCCTGGCATACTGCGATCATTTTGATTCGTATCCATCCTTTGTTTTATTATTAACGTGAGTCATTACCATTCTTATCATATACACTCCATTTAATTGTCAAACGAAAACTATCACTATTCAAACCCCATGCAGGGCGATGTATGGAAAGTTGCTGAACAAACATGGAATCACAGTTCAATGTCCCTACAATTCGATTGTTATTTATTGTAGTTTGTTAATTTGAAATTCTCCACAATGTCATTCTGTACGTATGATCATGCTCGTATTCAAGAAATGCATTGATGTTCTTTTTAATTCTTCATAGCGTTTCGTTTTAAATCAATCAACAATTCTTTTCATCATAGATAACGAGAGTAACGCCATCATCCGGGAGTATTACAGCTTGTTTATTTCATGTTATATATCGACACCTCTCGTGGTGATGATATCACTAGTGAACGGGCTAGATCTTTTCAAAAGAAATACGACGCAGTCAGATTTATACCACTCTATGAATAACGTAACAGCAGGAGAGCTCCAGTTAAAAGGATGAAAGTAAAATATTGAAGGAGAGGAAGAGGACTGGTGAGTGTTGAGATNAACGCCTTATTTGTATTGGATAGATTGTATGATCTCCTGCTTTTTGGTCAACGGGCGCCCCTGTTTGTTGCCATCGCAATCCATCATATCTGATTTCTTCAAGTATCATCAAGCTGTTGTCAATATTAACCCATGCCAAGCAAACACTCTTGTAATCGAAGAAATGCCGCGTTTCACATCATCCAGTATTGTGATCGTAAAACTCCGTAATCGTATGCACAGATATACGATCGTTTATGGACAAGCAAAGTTCGTCTACGGCTTTCGTTTTACTGTGTATTTCTTCGTATACGATTATATTTTTTCGTGTACGGTTTGGAGATACACGACCGTCCAAAATGTGATTGTATACGGAGAAACTCGTAAGAAGAGGGGTTACTTCATTTTGACAGTAAATCAATCACGTAAGGTAAGCTAGAAGCATACCACAATTTTGAAGAATCAGATATTGCCGAATACAATATGAAAACTTGTATCGATATCTGATAAGCAAAAACCTTCAACATATGACATCATACTGTTGGAAGCTATCTTGGCGAAGAAATCTCATCGAATCTGACAGGATTCTATGGTAGGTCTAGCCATCCTGGGAACTTCTTCTCACTATGACGCATGCGTTACGCTACAAGTTAGTTATCCATTGTTAGATTCACATCACAAGCTTACAAGGGGCCAAGAAAAATGGTCAAGAAAAGTAAGCTTGATATTATCATTTTACATGTCGATCTTAACCAAAAAAACTTGCCAAGATTGTGAGAAAATGACGAGTTCATATGGGAAATATAATTGAGCGAGTTTGCCTCCGCTTGATAGCTACAAATATCGGGTCGCAAATAGGGATATAAAACATCGCTGAAGTTGATCACTAAAATGGGATTGTAGGAAAATACCTGAAAGGAAAACGTAGAAAGGGAAAAACATAGAAAAAAAAACAGAAAAGGAAAATATCGAAAACAAAAATGTAAAAGAGGAAAACGTCGAATACTTTTAAAGATGTCAGTAGAAAAATTCAGTTGTTTTTGTTCTTATTAGTAACTCTACCTTTGCCACCAAAATATTTAAATCTCCATCGAATAAAAGAATTCCTTAACATTAAATACGTGTATCGTCAAAATCAGATTCTGAAAATACATAGTTCATCTAAAACTCCGCAATCTGAGATATCATTTGCTGTATCGAACAAAGGTAAACCACTATTAATATATGAGAATAATTTATTCAAGTGTAACAAATCAACGCAAAGGAACTATGGTTATGTTTATAGTTGTTGATTACAAGGAAAAAAAAGATGTTATTATATTGTCAATTTTCTTTTGTCTGTTTTTTTTATAAATTAATAAACATAGTACTTATCATGCATCAAAAGGAATAGATCAATCATTTCGACGTTTTCCTCTTCTACATTTTCCTTTTCAGCGTTTTCCAGCAAGACCACTAAAATCATATACTTTAGCCTTTTTAGCTATACAACTGGACTGATCTGCGCATCAGTTTGTGTTATGTAATCTTTTTGTATGATGTGTTAACATTAATCAATATATTCGTGGATATTTTCGCCAACAACATACTTTTTCGTGAGAAAAGAGGAAAAGAGACGGAGTGGGGTGTCAGTTAATAATATACATACTTCTCTCTCTTATTTCTCCTCTCCCTATCTCTTTTCGCTCGTGTCCTCATCTTTATTTTTCTATCTCTTTCCGTCTCATATGTAATTATCTCGTCATCTTTTCTCCTACCTATCTGTACTCAGCTATTCTCGTCTTGTATTTTAAAATGAAAGTTTTATCATGTCTAAGTCTTTTTTAAATCTTGATAATGGCTGTTTAATCAGTCGAAATGTCGCAATAAAAAAGTTTTAATTATGTCATTTAAATGCAACTAAAAACCAAGCCGCTACCATACAGTTAGTATTATTGAGTATATGCTTCTCTATTTATGGTCGTTTCTCAAAACTAAAACTTGTCCTGCATGAGTAACATTGATTGCAGTAGATTGAGGAAGATAGAATGGATCCCCATCCATATGTACAGGCATTGAACGAATGATTTCAATTCGTACTTGACTGCATTGAGCAATGCGACGACCTCGAAAACCAATATGAATCAAAGCCATCTGTATCGAGTCTAATCCAACAACTTCAATTTTATGATCATCAATACTCTGTCTTCCGATTTGATTGTTAGTAGCAGATGCTCTAGACGATTCAACGGTATTGGATATATCTTCTCTCGCAAATTTACATTGGTTATAGCTGTAATCGGGTGGATCTATATTTTGAAATGTATTCACATTGATCTGATTGAATTTCTCGGTTTGATGTTGAATATTGTTTGATATTGATGTACTATGCTGGTATGTTCTACTCCAAGGATGAGTACCTGATCCATAACTTGGAATATTTAATAGAACAACAGTATGACAATGACGTAATGAATTTGTCATGTCTTGACCATCACAAATAATTCTCATATATGATCCTAAATTCCATGCTCTCCATAAAGCAAATTCTCTAAAATAGTGTCTAGCACAATTGAGATAAATAAGTTTATTTTTCATCGGTGATGTAAATTTCGATGAATCACGCATTCGTTTATCATGAAAATCCAACACAACAGCTGCGTCTAAACCCAAACTAATATAATTAGTAAATAGATTATTGAGAGGTTTTTGATAATTTTGATAAGATGGTCGATCGATTTCACGAACGAATTTTGGATGCTCGAGAATACGTGATAAACATCGACGAATAATTCCAGACTCTTCGATAGAATCAATTCTTGTTAATGGTTCAAAATCAACTTGCCAACAATCAAGTGCAATGGGTTTAGCATTAGAAATGTGTAAGAGCGTGGTTAATAGTCGTTTCTTATTGTAAGACCAATCCCAGCCCAATACACGTGATAAATCGTTCCCTGTACCCATAGGACAAATACCTACTGGAGGATTATCAAGTGATGAAAATCTTTTTGCTAAAATGCTCAGTATCCATCCGACTGTTCCATCGCCACCACAAAGCAAAATACGAGTATTACGAAGAGATGAATATATATCCAAAGCTTGCATTACAGTTGTATCGTTTTCGAGCAGAAAAACTTGACGTGGATTTAATAAACGTATAAGTTTATTATAGATAATCTTTCCTTTTTGACCACCTGACAGTTTATTTATAAATACAATTAAAGGGGTTAACGATGAGTTGCTCGCATCG